ACAGGGCCGTCTGCCCTCTCACCCTGCACCTGGTCTGGGGCGGGAACAGCAGCAGGGTGCTGGCCGGCCCTGGACGCAGGCGGCCCCTCCCCTCCAGAGGGAGAGGCAGGCCTGGGGGTGGGCCGTCTGAGGTCCTTGTGCCCAGCACAGGCCCTGCGCTGGCGCAGGAGGTGGCATCGATTTCCGTTAAGTTGGCAAATCTTTCTTTTTATCCTGGAATCCTGCCTCAAAACTCTGCCGCCCTGACAGGCGCATCCATCAGCGGCCCGCTCCCTCCGGCCCTTCCCAGGGAGGCGAGGCAGCACCCCCTGTCCCTCCCATCCGCCTCCTTGGGGGGGCCCCTCCTCGGGTCCCTTCACCCGACACTGCTCCGTCAGTCAGTGCCCCGCGGCCTGGGCCCGGGCTGTTAGCATCTGCCCGTCCCTCACCAGCGCCCTTTCCCGCCCCTGGGCCCCACGCCCTGCCCTCTCAGACCCATCTGACAAGTGAGTAGCTGTGGACTCCCAAAGGCGCCCCCACAGAGGCCTCCCGTCTCCTCTCAGCTGGTGTCTCTGTTATTGGCCACATGCCGCCAGCACCTCCCCTGGAGCCTGCCCTGCCCAGAGGGGCTCAGTCCTGGCCTTGCCCTCTAGGAGCTGGGGTGAGTGTGTGGCTGGGGGCCCAGAGGGAAGGGGCAAGGCCTGCAGGGGCAGGGCAGGGTGCCCAGTCTGGGGAGACAGGGGTGAGTTTGGGGCCTGGGCACAGGGCTAGGATTCGGGTGCTCAGGGCCCCAGGTATGGGCAGGGCAGAGCCCAGGGGCTTGGGGCAGCTGAAGGACCCCTGCAGGCCCTGAGCCCCCACCTCCCCTGCTGGCCTGGGACTCGCTGCTGGAGGCAGCAGCAGGGAGCCCAGGGCTGGGAGGAGGGCATGTTCAGGAGTCCTCTCACCTCCAGGGCTTCAGGGGGGCCACGGCCCAGAGGGGTGACTCTGACCTAGGCTGGGAGCCCCCAGGGCAGTGGGCTGCACCAGCTGTCCAGCCCTGCAGCACGCACGCCAGCAAGCAGTCCGCTAGGAGCTCAGGGGCATGCCTCCTGCCGCCTACCAAGCCTCACCACCCCTGCTGGAGCCAGACCGTCGGCTGGGCGGGCTGCGGTCTTGTGGATCAAATCCCAATTCATTAGCGGTGTAGGCTGGGTCAGGAGGGTTGATGTGGGCAGGGGGCTGGGGCCCTGTCTGCGGTTTTCCCAGCGGCCTGGCCAACAGGCTCCAGAGGCTCACAGACCCAAGCCAACCTGCTTCCGATAATCAATCGGCGGATGACACCTGTCAGCCATGAATCACTCAGGCCAGCAGAGGGCAGGCAGGCAGCGAGGGGTCCAGCGTGGGGTCCAGCCTGAGGGGACCCCTTTCGCTGTCTGCTTGTCTCTGCTGCACACATCTCTGGGTCTCTCCTCAGGGACTCTGCTCCCTGCCCTTCCCAGTCCTGAACTGCAGCCGCAGCTGATGAGTCTCTCCCCACATCACTGGGTCCCACCCCCACAGCCTGCACTCAGGCATCTGTGCCTCCTCCCACCTGGGAGGGTCTGGGGCTCCACATCTAGAAGGCCAGCCGGTGCAGGAGGGAGTCAGGCCCCTAGAGTCAGCGATCCTCTCAGAAGCAGGTGTTGGCGTGCCTGGTAGGGTGCAGAGCCTCACCCATGCCTACCTTGCCTGGAGTGGGGGCCCCCTGCCTAGCAGGGCCATGCCCCAGGGGCATCTTGGAAGAGCTTGGGCTCCCCAGCGCTGCCCAGGCCTCAGCCCTGCACACCGGGACTGTGCCAGGGCAGCATCAGGGACCTGGGCCCTCAGCGTGGGCCAAACACAGCATGCGGGTGTGGGAGAGGTGTGGGTCTCCACATCTGTGCTCACCTCCTGACCATGCTGCGTGGTGGCCCCTTCCTCCCCTGAGGCCAGGCCGGGCCAGCATCTGTCCAGTCAATGGCCGGCCACATCCTGAGCCCAGGGCTGATCTGCTGACCCAGGCCGGCCTGCCCCATCCCGTCTCTCCCTCATCAATAGCAGAGCAGCCGGCAGGCGTCATGCTGTTCCTCAGCCCGAGGGAGCCTCAGCAGACCATGCCCAGGCCCTGCTGCCATGTTTGGAGGTTTTCCAGCCTTACCACCCCACCACTCTCCCCAGTGGCCTCCACGGCTCAGCAAGGTCAACCCCTGAGGCTGCCTGGGGGCTGCAGCCGGGCCTCACTCCCAGGACTCCCGCATAGCCCTAGAGACTGCCGCCCTCCAGCCTCTGTGGCACTGCCTGTCAGGAGGTCCTGGCAAGGCCTTAGAACATGGCCAGGGCCGTGGAAGGAATTCCCAGGCCAGACCACTCTGTTTGGAGAACTTTCTAACTGGCTAGGACATCCTAGATTGTGCGGGCTGTGGAGGGGTGAGCTCCCCATCACAGGGCTGTCTGCGAAGAGGCCCAATGGCCCTGAGGGCAGACAGAGCCCCACCTGGTCAGAGGGTCTGCTGCCCAAGAAAAGAGGCCACGTTCCCCACCCAACTTGCCCACCACCACCCCACTTCCTGTGAGCAGTCCTGGCCAGACAGTCAGGGACTCCTGGCCAAGTCACAGGTGCACCCCAAGAAGAGATGGGCCAGCTTGGAGTCAAGCTTGGCCCAAGAAGGCATAGCAGCTTGGCCAATGGGGCCCTGATGAGGGTGGGGCTTTGCCCCTGGCCTGCCTCCGCTCCCCTCAGGCCCTCCCCCCACCTCCCAGGCCCCGCCTCCCCAGTGGCAGGTGCTTGTGGGCCCCCTTCTGCCCCTGCTTGCTCCACTCCCCACTGACCCCACTGCCCAGGGGCATCTCAGGCTCTTCCCAGGACTCAGGGGGAGGGTGTTCCTGATGGAGGAGCCCCACAGAAGCCCCTTGTTCTGTAGGTTCTGCTGGGTGCCAGTCGTGCCCATCAAAGCAGAGGGCAGCGAAGTGCAAGTGGGATTTGAAGCCGCTTGCACGCAGTAGTGTCCAAGTTTGCATGCTTCATAAAGTACTCAGGTTATCAGTGAGTCGACCAGGTACTGATACTAAACAAATGAGCTAACAAATACACTCTTGGAACTGATTTGCTGGCCCCTCCGGAGAGGCTGGCCCTCCAGCCATTCAGCAAGCACCCCGTCCCAGTGGGCTGGGCTGGGGGGCAGATGGGGGTTGCTCAGAGCACAAGCAGCAGGAGGGAATCACCCAGAGCGGAGGCCCAGTTCTACCTGGGCACGGCCTATTGAAGAATGAATGGCAGTTCTCTAGGCTGACTGAAGAAGCTTGGAACAGCTTGGGGTGGGGACAGAGAATGAGGAGGGCCCACCCTCGGGGCCACGGAGGACGGTGCTGTGGGGCCAGAGCTGCAGTCAGGCCTCTAGGCCGCCGTGGGGGTGGTGGGTGTCCTGGGACCCCGACACAGCCTCTCCTGTCTGTGGGGCTGGGTGTGGGCTTGTTTTAGTGCCTGCATGTCCAGGGCCACACAGCATTTGGGCAGGGCTTGGTGGACTTAGACATCCACCTCTGGGCCTGGTCAGGGCAGTTTGCTGGCGTTTCACTGGGAGCCCCCAAGCGCAGGCCCAGCCTCCGACACCACATCCCCTGCCGTGGGTGACCCTGAGGTGTGCTGTGGGAGTGGGAGGGGGCGGGGCCGTGCCCCTGCGCCCCCTGCTCTGGAGGGAGGCTGTGTGCGGCTGCACCCATTGCTTCTCCATGACTGACTTGGCGCGGGGACTGGGTTTACCTGTGCTTGGAACCAGCGTTTATGAATATTCCTAAAGAGGAAAATCAATCAGTTATCCCAGGCTGTGGTCATTTTTCTAACTGGGAGAACAAGCAGTTTTATACACCTGGGAAGGGCCGCCAGGCAGATCGATGGCCTCTCTCTGGGCTGGCAGCCGCCCGGCCGGCCTCCTTGGCCAGCTCTCCATCTGCCCCGCTGGGTACTGCCCGCACTGCCAGGTCAGCAGCCCCGGCCACCCGAGATCTGTCCTGCTCATCAGGGCAGGAAGCGACAACCTGCCAGGGTGGATTTGCTCCTCAGGGTCAGTCTCAAGCCCCCCTGCCTGTCCCTTCCCCAGGCCCGAGGACTGCCCACCACCTGCCTGCAGCCGCAGCTTGTGGGTGACTCTCAGGGTCCGGTGAGGCACACCCACATGGGGTCAGGCCTGCCCTGTCAGGGAGGCCCCCGCCCCAGCCCCACCTTCCAGGCTGTCGTCAGTCCCCTGCTGCAGGGTCGGAAACTCCGATGACCCGGCTTTTCCTATCACAGGCTTAAGAGCATCAGCAAGAAAATGCAGTCCAGCCCACTGACCTGCCCTCAGTCCGCTCCCCGCAAACGCAGGTGGGAGCAGGCCTTGAGGGCATGGAACACAGGACAGGTTTTTTTTAAAACTTTTATTTTTGCAGTGAAATACCTGTGCCATGAAATTCACCTTTGCAGCCGTCCGACGGGCACAGCAGTAGTATTGGACATACTTGCCGCCTTCCCACCGTCTGCTACACAGCTTCCTCCTGTCCCAAACCAGAACTCTGCCCCTGTCAAGCTCCCAGCCCTGGCTGCACCTCCTTCCTGACCCCTGAGCTCAGCACCCCCAGGGGCCCTCGAGAGTGTCTCTGCAGCGTCTGTCCTCTGCACTGGTCTTTCCCACTCAGTGCAGGGCCCCAGACCCAGCCACATGGTGAAGCATGTCCGTGCCCATTTGGAGGAGGCTGGGGTTCTGTCCAGGCTAGTAGGTCGGGCCCAGGGAGACCCCAGCAGTGGGAGCTGACAGAGGAGGGAGGAGGGGAGGCAGCGGCATCAACTACAGTCAGAAGCAAATTGATGTCTCCAGGCAGCCAGTGGCAGGGAGGGCTTTTAATGGTCCCTAAAGCCCTGGGCCGGCGGTGCTGAGCTCAGCATCCCCCGTGAGGCTGGGAGGGGCCCACCTCAGTGCTGCCTCCCACCCGACCTCTGCTCACCAGGGCCACCAGAATTGCCAAAGAACTTGGGCAGGGGTGAAAGAGCTCTGTCCTGGGGGTCCCTAGACCCCTATGCTGACTCTTCCTGCCAGGTTGGACCTGCCCTGCCCTTGGGGGCCTTGCTGGAGGCAGGGACAAAAAGAAGCCTCCCAGCACCTTTGCTGTTTGTCACAGGGCCCATTAGGTGCTGACAGCTCCTTCCTCATCTGCCCAGCGCGGGCAGCCCCACGTCCCCATCAATCACAGACCCTGGAAGTCTGCAGCCCCTCCACCTTGGTCTGGACTCCCTGGGGGCCCCCAAGAGGACTGTTCATCCGGGAAAGATGTCACGCCGAGCTCAGGCAGGAAGCAAGGCAGAAGGGGGCGGCCATCTCCCAGCACCACGGCCCATCCCTGGCAGGAGGCCAGAACCTCGCCTGGGCCATGGGGAGCCAGGATCTGGCTGGGTGGCAGCCCCACCCCCTGGAGGGGGCCTGAGGCTGACCATGCTGGGGCTCTGGGCCTTGGTTCACCCAGATCACCTGCATTAGAGGGTGCACGAGAGGCCAGCTAGACCCCAGGGGTCCCAGATAGGGTCCAACCACTGGCCTCATGGGGCTGAGCCACTGCTGCCCACGGGCTGCCAGGCCAAAGGGCCTACAGAAGCAGCTGGAAGCTCCTTGCTCTTTCTGGAGGCTGTGAGAAGGACCTGGCCTGGCCAGGCACAGCAGCTGCCCCTAGGTCAGGGCTGTCCTGCAGACTGTGGTTTATTTATATGACTGTTTGTTTATTTATAGGGCTCTTGCTGGGCAGTGCCCAGCCATGGACTGGCCACTCCCAGTTGCTGGAGCCCCTGAGATACCCAAGGCCCTACCACAGAGAGGCCTACTGTAAAGGTTCCCAACGTCCACCCCCACAACCAGGAAGCAGACCCCAAAGGCCCCCTCCTACCCCAGGTGAGGAAACAGGGCCACACAGATGAGGGCCACCAAGGGGCAGCGGGTCACAGTGGCCCTGGACCGCCTCCAGGACCGTGTTCATGGAGCACCCATGCCTGGGCTCCCAGTGCTCTGGCTGGGCTGCTGGTCACCACTTTGGAGGGCAGTGGGCATGACCAGGGCCCTGGGGGCTGGGTGTGGGCTGGAGGTGGCGTGGGCCCTGCCAAGCTCTGCGATCACCAGACTTCCCTCCCGCCTGGCCCCTGCTCCTCTCCTGTCAGGGTGAGACAGGCCCTGTCAGCCGGGGCCCTGTGCCTGTTGCACGGGCAAAAAGCAGCTTTTGGTACAAGTGTTCCACAAATCGGGCATGGGACATACTTATTCCAAAACTGTTGTTGATCTGAAGTCTGAACGTAACTGGAACCCTGGGTTTTTATTTGCTAAATCTGGCTGCCCTCCCAGCAGGACCAGCACCTGCAGGGGCTTGAGGCAAAGGGGAAGCAGCCCCACTGGGCAGACCTGGGCCACACCTGCCCTGCCCTGCCCTGCCTCCTCCCCATATTCCAACCTCCAACTTGCCCTGTGCCCTGATTAGTTTGGGAAGGGCAATGTTTATATTAACCATTCATTTATTGACATCTGCTTGCTAGGTCAATGGCCAAATTTATTGTCTCACAAGACAGGCTATATCGAGCCAAGTACCCACTCCCTCCTCTGCCAGCCCTGGGGTGGACTCAAGCTGTTGATATGCAGACCACTGACCTTGGGCCTGCCAGTCTCTGCTGGGGGCTGGGGGTGTTCTGGGAGAGACTAGAACAGGAGGAGCAAGGCAGCGGGAGTTCACTCCTGCACCCCACCACTGCCGAGGACCCCTAACTGCCACCCCCCACAAGCAGGTGGACGTCAGAAGCTCAAGAAGATGGGGCCCTGAGGAGCGTCAGACCACAAGCTCACTGGGCAGGAGCATCAAACAGCCGCGGCAATCAATGTGAAATGACAAATGGCAGGAGGTACACAGGGCCTGGGGTGGGGAAGGGGAAGAGGAGTGGAGGGGGCAGGGGGTAGGGGGTGAAAATAGGCTTGAGCCGGCCGCCCACCTGGACACTTGACTTTACAGACTGTGAAGACAGCTGGTGTAGCCCTACCTCTGCTGCAGCCTGGGCAGAGCAGACACTGTGGAGGCGGACGGGTGCGTGGTGGCTGGGCTGAGGGGCGGGCCCTGAGGGGGGCGCCTGGCTCCAGGCGTCTGGGTGGGTCTGCTCCTCCCTTCTGCCAAAATCCTGGCAGCGGGCAGACAAGTTGCTCTGTACTGTGACGGGATGGCCCGTGGGCTGTAGGGTGAGAGGGACAGTGAAGGGTGTGGTGAGCGCGGGTGTCTCAAGGAAGACCAAGAGGGTGTGAGAATGGAGGGCTCTGGTAGCCGGGATGTACCTGAGCACCGCAAGGTCCAGGAGCTGGCTGAGATGCAAGGCGGTTGCAGGGGGCCCTGCTCCCCTGGGGGCATGCTCCTAGCTGCACCTAGGGGCCAGACTCTCCACGATGATCCACTCCCAGGTCCTCCCCTGACCCCTGGCCACCTGTCCTGAGGGAGGCAGTGAGACTGGGAATGGGCTCACTGGTCCTGGGGCCGTCCAGGAGCTGGTTCAGATGCTGCATCCGAGTTAGGACTGCCGCCAAGCAGTGAGGAGTCACTGCTCGGCTTGTCCAGGCAGCAAAGCCCAGGGCTGGGCAGGGGCGAGGGACACAGGTGGGGCTGGAGACAGACAAAGGGACAGAGATAGACGGGAGAAGACAAGTACAGGCGGGCAGCCAGCCGGGTGCCCAGGCAGGGCCAAGGCTGGGAACACTGGGGTCCTGGTCAGCAGGTGGAGGCTTTGGAGGTGCCCCACCCCGGGCTGAGGTCACCTTCCCATCTCGCCAGCTGCATTACTCATGGCCTAGCAGAGTGGTCTGAAACCCGACCCACAGCTCCAGTTCCCTTCTCACAGAGGGAAGGTGAAGCGGGCAAGGGCCAGGCCAGAGACCATGAGGTGGGGCCTGCTGTGGGTCGCCTGCGAAGTCATTTCAGATGCCACTTCCCCAGGAAGCCCTCCCTCCTGGCCACTGTCCCTCCACCTTCCCAAGGCCCTTGTGACCTGCCACAAGGGCAGCCTGGCCCCTGTGCATCCCTTCCCAAAACCCCGAGGGCAGGTTCTGGGCAGGTCCCTGGCCTCTGGGCTGTCTCACCACCCTGCCTGGTTTCCCCATTAGGGACCCCCTGATCCACAGATGCCCTCCCCCAGCTAGGTCACTGCTGCTGTCCATGGCAGCCCCCAACTCCCACCTTACCCTGAGGTCTGGCCTCTTGCATGTCTGGTGTCCCCACTGGAGTAGGTGGCAGATTTCTGGGCTGTTTGTGAAAATGCAGATTCTCAAGCCTACCCCTGGGCCATAGGATCCCCAGCGTGGGGCTGGGAGTATAACCTCTGACTGCTCCTGGTGCAGGGGTAGGTAGGCACTATGGTGGGGGCCGGAGCCTATCACAGGAACCCTTTTAACTACGTGGGTTCAGGACAGCTACAGAATAGAGCCTCCAGAAGCCCTGGCTGCAGCCCCCGCCCTCCCTTTCTTCCTCCCTGCCCCGCTGCCCCTCTCAGCCTGTGAGCACCCCCACCTCCCCACCCCCATCAAAATGTTATCTATGATGAATATTTTCCACTTTGGACAAATGGATGTGACTAGAAAAACACACTGAGTTAAATTTTATTGCTTTGAGAAAACACAGTAAATGCGGGATAGAATGATATTCTATTTGTTTTAATAAAAGTGATTTGACCTGATTGGGGTTTTTTTTCCTTCTTTTTTATTAAAGTGTCATTAATATACAATCTTATGAAGATTTCACATGAACATTGGGTTTTCAACATTCACCCATATTATCAAGTCCCCACCACCACCGTGGCAGTCACTGTCTATCAGCGTAGTAAGATGCTATATAGAGTCAGTACTTGTCTTCTCCGTGCTATACTGCCTTCCCCGTGACCTACCTATATTGTATGGCTAATTATAGTGCCCCTTAATCCCCATCTCCCTTCCTCCCCACCCACCCTCCCCAACCCCTTTCCTTTGGTGACCGCTAGTCCCTTCTTCGAATTTGTGAGTCTGCTGCTGTTTTGTTCCTTCAGTTTTTGCTTTGTTGTTATGCTCCACAGATGAGGGAAATCATTTGGTACTTGTCTTTCTCTGCCTCCTTTTCTCATTTTTTAATTGGGTTATTTGTTTTCTTGGTGTTGAGTCATATGAGTTCTTTATATATTTTGGATGTTAACCCCTTACTGAATAAATCATTTATGAATATATTCTCCCACTGTAGGTTCCTTTTTGTTCTGCTGATG